AACGTTTGTCTGAAGAGCAAATTTCTACGTAACATAGGATTCGTCACTAAAGCCTACATACGCACCACAATGTTAACAAACAGCGGTAGATATACCCGGATAAAAACGATGTCGTTCCAACATGTCCTGAGGATTTGCGCTGAAAAGAGCAGATGGGGAGAAAGAGCGTGCTCGTGACCACGAGCCTGGCTGGCCGACACTCACGTCGCTGTACTCGCCGCAACTGGTCAGCTTGTACTCGGGGACAGCTGTGAAGCTGCCCAGCGCCGGCAGTGAGTCTGTCCCGCTTGCGCGGCGCGCCTGAACGAAGAAGCCTTTAAAGGGCATCTGGTGCTCCCGGCTGATGGTCACCGTCACCCTGTGGAGGCGGGCGGGGGGTCAGTGAGGGGCGCGTCAGCCGCCAGGTCGCACCAACTCAGCGGGCTGCGCACTACGAGAACGCGCATGAGCTGCGCTCCTCGTCGTTATTCAACGTGAGCTGATCTGCTGTTAGTCCTTGCCTATATGTCATCGATCAGCTCACATTGTCGGGGCAGGAAACTCGCTCGTTTCCGCCGGCTAGCGTTTAGGAAAGCCCGATGGGCCAGTCCAGTGATCGTCTCTTAAAACGCACGGTATACTTTTACACGGAATTCTTTGCTGAGTCGGGAATAGCTGCCGGGCTACCCTACCGCCGCCGTCCATCGGTCAGTCACCGGGTCAGGGGATCCAAACTACAAATCTCAGGGAGGACCTCACTCTCACTGTTCAGGTTGAGGTATCGCCAGCGATTACCGAAACAGATGGATTCCAAAAGCCTAGACCATTGCATATTTGACAGTTGGCCCCACACGAAGGACATCGAAGGTTCTTGCCGTAAAGGGAGTGTCCCACATTTGTATGGAGTTTTAAAGTCAGTCATCTTCACTTAGCCCCTACTGATGTACGTTGGAAGCATGACCGCGCTACAACGCACTTTTCCTTCTAGCCCATATAGTTCACGTGTTAAATACCTGCTTTTCACAGAGCTGTGAATCGAACTCCATCAGGCCAATTTCGATGAGCCCGGTACCAAACGGGGGATTGATCTTCTTGAGCCGGTCCATTGACCATTTTTGGTCTAGCGAAGCCAAACTCTTACGGCGTGCCAAGTCAAAGTTTTGGTGCACGGCACGCCCTGAATAATAATCGAAATAATCATAAGAGAAAGTTGTGTTCGAAGTCAGAACGTTCCCGGCATTTTCTACCAAATTCCCACGAAACATACTAAACTGGTTCTGATAGCCAAGACGTGCCAACAGTGTTGTTCATTGCACAACTCCTTCTGAGTTTCTTGCAGGAAGCGTGGGAACCACGTTCATTCAAACTTGCAATGCGTTCATTATCATGGCACCTGCGCCGCGCCACCTTCGGTTACCGGCTGCCAAATATGATGTACTAACAAGAAATCTAGCCTACATAGCACATCTGGAATATTTCTGGTTAAAGGCTGCAGCTTTTTTGTGCTGCAGTTTGCCCTTCCCGGTATGCATTACCCTCCCGGTATATATCATCTTCGCTTACCCTTGTTAGGTAAACGTACCACCATCTCATTGGCCACGCGGTGTTTCAGGTCAAGAGGAGTGTTACGCAGAGTCGTTTCGTGATCATTACAGGGCTGTGGGGTGACGGAAAATGGATAACGTTGGGGCAGAACTGCATGCGCCTAGGAGGGGGGAGGGACGCAAGCGCCGAGCTTTACCCCGCGCAGGGACCCCCCGGGGTGTGCGCTGGACGCCCGATCGAGGTTCTCCCTTCGCAGGAAGTCTCTCGGCCCACCCGTAGCTGGCGCATACAACCTGCACCGGATAAGCAGGGCGTCGCGAGGATTCAGGATTAAGCAGGGAAGACGATAAGAGGGTTGGATGACCAACACGAGCCACGTTTTGTGCTGCTTAAGGCAAGCAGTTGGAGATGAGATATTACGGAAAAGAGACTTATGATTGAACAGCCTACGAACAGCGCCATAGCCGTACGATTGCTAATCAACAGTTTAATAGGTAACCTTGCTTCCGATCCTTTATGTCGGAGGGAGCGGTAATAATATGTAAAGAATATCACGGAAAAATATGCAAGAACGCCACAACAGGCCAAAACACGAGCACACAACGATATTTGCTTGAGCGGACACGCCCAGCGCCGCCAGCGCCTCTCTCGCCAAGCTGAAGCAGTAAGATTAGTGCTGGGGCTGCGATTTCGCACGGCCAGTTTGGCAGCACCTCCAACGTCAGTCAAACGTTCCATGACGTGATCATGCAATGGCGCATTAGGGAGCATATTTAATAAGAAGAGAAATTGTGTCGTCTGGAACAGCCTGTTCCACGTACAATTAAACCAACAGTTACAAGTGAGCTCATTTCATCTCATCTGATGATTCAATATCTTCAAGCGTGGAACACTCCCTTTAATTCTGGAACATCAGCGGGGTTAGTTGCTGGGGCCGCCATAGAGTGCATTCGCGATGGTGATACAGCTACATCATATTAGGATTTCCAGGGCCTGCAAAGTAAATCCATAACGTGGATAGATGAACTTTTGACAGAGCTCAACTTTGCATGTTGTGGAATCGATAGTGCCAATTACATTCCGCTGAGAGCAGATGGAGAACTGGCAGTGAAATATCTACAATCGCGCCACAAGCTCAATTGACTCTAAACACCTGGTCGCTCACTAGCCGACCAGGTGTTCAGAGTATATGCGATGACACGACCACCCCGATGTGGTGGGGGCCGAGAAGACGAAAGTGTAATGACATCTCCTCGTTCCTATCCACGCCAACCTGTCGCCCGGCGCAATGGCGACATCCGACACCACCACCCTGTACGGTAGGGTCGAAGACTGGGCCGGCACGCCGTGACCCGGGGTCATGTCGCCGCAGGCCACGGCCGGGGCGCCGCCCGAGTAGGCCCGGCAGGCCACCACCCCCAGAGCCAGCACCAGCAGCTGCAGCGGACACCGACGCATCTCCTGACGGTCACAGACACGCGCGGCCAGCGTCAGGTCGTTTACACATCGCAAGGGGCCGTGCGCACACATGGGCCGCACCACAGCCCAACACCCCCGAGAGGCGCACGCGACACAATGTGACGCATCTGTAAGGTGCGGCAAGTTGCTCTGCTTCGGCCCAACTGGCAGAGACACACCTGGCTGCTGACCCAACCGCTGCCGAGGTCAGTGTGTCCGGAGAGACTCACTCACCGGGCGCGGAGTCGGCACGGCTTGGTCGCGGGGAGAAGGCGCGCAGAATGTGAATCACGCTCGGCCGCCGCTGCAGTGATGGGGCGAATCACGCTCGGCCACCGCTGCGGTGACGAGGCGATCACGCTCGGCCACCGCTGCAGTGATGAGGCGATCACGCTCGGCCACCGCTGCAGTGATGAGGCGCCGACGAGCCGGCTTGGTCCCGGGGAGACGGCGCGCGGAATGTGAATCACGCTCGGCCACCGCTGCAGTGATGAGGCGCCGACCAGCCGGCCGGCGGTCGTGCGTTGCAGAGAGCGACGGATTCTCCAACCGCAGGCGTCTTCAGAGATAGCGGACCGGCGGGATGCCCCCGCGCGGCGCAATATTCGTCTACCTCTGGCAGTGCGACCATCACCGGAAAGCCGTTCTCTAGCGACCACGCGTGTCTGCGCAGGCGATAGACGAACGTTTCGCGGCAAGTTATTAAGTCAGATTGCACGACTCAGTGCAGAACGATACGTGTCTATCGACGCGCTGCCCCGGCCCCCTCACACAGCGCGGGAGGGTCTCGTCGCCCATCGATCCCTCCTCACTTGCCACGGTCGTCACACGTGCGCGCCCATATCGCCCCCGTCATAGGCCCCGCTTACGCGAGCATTCTAATGCGCCAGCAACTAACAACAGAGGCTTAACACGTGTATTAATCCCCACATTATTCAAAACATTGACATTAAAACTCGGAAGCGTTATTACACATCATGCAAGGTAAAAATGGACGGATATATTTCGATTGCAGCAGATCATGGTTCAACAGGCATGTCTCACTTTTACAAAATGCCACCCTTTTAAATGAAATCGTATTATCAAAGCACTGGTCAAGAAGGGAATATTTTCTTTTGAGTATGCATCCCGTGTAGGGCATATTACAAATGGACATTACATATGTCATCCCTCCTCTCCAACAGCATCACACAAGCAGAGCAGACGAAGGACGCAATAGTTTGTATATGCAGCGTAGGCACTGGAAAAGCACGTAACGTAAAATGTCTACTGCATTGATCATGTGCGCGTTTGTTCCATTCACAACCCGTCGAGTAAGTCTCTTTGAACTAACATAAAGCGTGGGCTGCTTAAATTGTCCTCAGACTGAACTTTTACGACCAACGCCCGACCAACTGCCACCGAAGTGCGCATTGTCAAAGAAATAAGCATCGCACGCGTGATTCGATAAATGGGGCAAGTACACTCGCCAGGGTACGTACTGACTTTGGTCCGTACCGTGGCAGGACCACTGCAGTTGGCGCACTCAACGTCTACAGCCCACGTGGACGGATGAGTACATGTCATGCCACTACACATAACACGGTGCGCGCTAAGAGCCCGCATAATGTCAACAGCAGCAGCGAGATTATCAACACCGGGACCGTGCGGCTTAACAGCGAGTCAGTCACCCCCGCCGAGGCAGCGGGCTGACGGCGGCGAGGTCTCTACAGCGTCCAACCCACTGCCAGGCCTCCTCAGCCGCCGGCACCGTCGATCCCCGGCGAGGGACCGGCCACGTACGCGGGGGCGGGACGGGGCGGCGGCGGGCCTCGCCGCCGGCCCGCCCACACACACACAGACAGACAGCTATCGCCCAGACCGCGAGATCAGGCCACAGGAAGCACACACCACTCGGTGCAGACACTTCCTGCACGGCTGAGCGGGGCGGACACGCGAATGGATAGCGGCGTCGGCGCGGCGCAGAGCCGCGCCGGTCTATAACAGGGCCGAGCCGACCCGCGAGTCGCGCCTACAGCGCGATCGCGCCGACTGAAAGGACCACGCCGATCAGTACCGGGAACGCGCTAATTTACGACGGGATAGAGCCGGTCTGCAAGATCGCGCCGTGTTGCTGTCATCGCACTTGAATACTGTGCGATCGCGCTGATCTAAAGCAGGCTTGAGTATATCTACGAGAGAATCTTGTCGATCCACTTTTCTGCTGGCGCGAGGACCACCATCAACACCAGGAGCGTCACGAACAGCAGGTTGATTACGATGTAGATGCCAAGCACCGTTCGCCGCAGCGTTGAACCCTGGAACAGTGACATCAGCCTGCCGTACGAACGATATGAAACCTCCATCACCCACCTGAGAGCCATTGCTGGAACTGGATGCATCTGGATGAAGACCCACTGAATAGTTCAGGACAGGTCTGACAGACTGGGCGGCTGAACGGTCGGGCCCAGGGCAGGACTGACCGGCGGTCGGGTCCAGGGCGGGACTGACCGGCGGTCGGATCCGGGGCGGGACTGACCGAGGTCGGGTCCAGGGCGGGACTGACCGGCGGTCGGGTCCGGAGCGGGACTGACCGGCGGTCCGGTCCAGGGCAGGAATGACCGGCGGCCGGGTCCAGGGTGGGACTGACCGGCGCTCGGGTCCAGGGCGGTACTGACCGGCGGTCGGGTCCGGGGCGGGACTGACCGGCGGTCCGGTCCAGGGCAGGAATGACCGGCGGTCGGGTCCAGGGCGGGACTGACCGGCGGTCGGGTCCGGGGTGGGACTGACCGGCGGTCGGGTCCAGGGCGGGACTGACCGGCGGTCGGGTCCGGGGCGAGACTGACCGGCGGTCGGGTCCGGGGCGGGACTGACCGGCGGTCGGGTAAGGGGCGGGAGTGACCGGCGGTCGGGTCCAGGACAGGGCTGACCGGCGGTCGGGCCCAGGACAGGTCTGACCGGCGGTCGGGTCCAGGGCGGGACTGACCGGCGGCTCGTCGGGGAGGTGGTCCGGTGGCTCAGTGACCGGCTCGCCGCCCGCCGCCGCCCGCCAGCCGGCCATGTAAGCGGCGCGCGGCACCTGCGACATGGGCCGCCAGGGCAGGTAGCGCGGCACGCAGCGCCACCAGCCGGCTGGCGGCGGCGGCGGCAGTAGCGGCGCCCGGCACGGTCCGGCCGGCTGCCCATCCGAAATGGAGTCGCTGTCCGAGCCGAAGCAGTGGGCCGTCGCCGCCGAAGAGTCGTCGGCGGGCTATGACGGAAAAGGACAGGGCGGAGGAGGCGGCCACACTGAGCTGCACAGTGACGCGACATCTGCACCCGACCCACACCGCATCGGCCCGGCTCGCGGGCGCCTTCTCGAATCAAAGCGGTAAAAAAGGGCACGCAACCTTCAAACGTTTTGAGTGTTGCAAAATATCCCGCTCTACATAAACGAGAGGTGCCCGATTCTCCACCATTTGCCAGTTCATTGCAACCCACCACAAGCCCCCGCTGCTGCCTACACACTTTCTTCCACCAGGACCAGTCAGCTCCTCCCCACGGGGGTATCCCGGCTAACACCGGACCTGTGTGCAGTTTTGGCCCTGCCCGAGCGGCACACGCCCCCTACATGCAGGCGGTTCATCTAGCCCGGCCACTCACGGGCGCCTCCTGAGGCCGATCAGTCTGATAGGCGTGGTAGCTGTTCATGCCCATGTCTCGCATGTTGTACGCCTCGGCGTGGCCCTTCTGTCCGCTCAGAGTGCGGTCTGACCAGCACTGCTGCATCTGGAAGGACGGCCCCACAAGCACACTCAGGCCAGGCGTCGCGGCAATGTAAGGGGGGTGGGAGGGGATCACAGCGAATATCGCACAACAACCAATGAAGGTGCAATAAGCACGGAAGTATTGTAACGCGCCGCCACTAGGGTTCCCCCCTTCCAGGACAACGGCATGTCACATATAAAATAGCTTTTCCCGACCATCCATGAACGAGTGCTGATGAATGAATGAACATGAGGCGCACACGAGCGGTCATCGGAACCGGCTTGGGTAGCTTGTTTCAGGAGCTTGAAGTACATTACTGCGAGGGATCCAGCGGCACGGTGTCGTGGCGAGCTGGCAAAATGTGACGCCACAGGACGGCACATCACACACCATATCCAACTAGTGCCGAGATGTACGACACGACCTGTCAGAATCGTTCTAATGCGCAAGGCGGCAAGCCTCCAACTTGCACAGCGACAAGACTGAACGCTGCTGCAGCTCGCTGCATGTGGCATGACCTCGCTCGCGCTGGTCCCGCCCGGCCTCTTCACGCGCGAGGCGGGTGACGGCCGCGCCGACGTACCGACAGCACGAGGTGCACGGCGACGTGGAAAAGCACGAAGGCGGCGAGCACCCAGTAAGCCCAGTCAGGCAGCTGAGCGGCCGGCAGCTGCACGGCGAAGAAGACGGTGGCGATACCCAGGATGTGCGCCGCCGAGCCGACCGTCCAGTGCAGCCAGTTGAAGAGGGCGCGGCGAGGCGTTCCCGGGTGGCAGCGGCAGAGCGCCATCAGCGGCTGCAGGACGGCCAGGCAGACGCAGAGCACGCCCAGCAGCGGGTGCGGGCTGGCGGCCGGCCCGGCCAGCAGCGGCGTGGTCGTCCACCCGCCCACCTGCCACACCACGCACGCCAGGCCGGCCAGCGTCAGCAGCACTGTGATCACCATCAGAGCGCGGTGGCCCTGGAACCAGAGGTCCAGCCCGGCCAGCTTGCGGCTCACCCACGTCTGCTTGTAGTAGCGCGCCAGCAGCATGCCCGTGCTCGCCGTGCCCACCCAAGCAGTCAGCATGAGCGCACCGTGCACGCGGAACAGCAGGCCACTGTCGCCGGTCGCCTGCCGGGCCGAGGCCAGCTCCACCGGCTGACCGCTCACGCGCCGCGACGTCTGGTGGTAGCGAGGCCCGCCGTCGGCATCCACTGCGGCAGAGGAACGCGCTCAGCGGCGGCGCACGGGCCGGCCGCGGGCGGCCACGTCCGGCGCCTGTGCGCGAGGGCGTGGCCGTGACGGGCAGCGGGGCGAGCGGACGGGCGGGCCAGTCGGAGTTGCTGAGGTTCGGGTCGGGGCAGACGCAAACGGAGGCAGCCGTCGGACGGACGGTCCACGAGCCGTCGACGCGGGTGTGACGCCGCGCGTCGACAAGAAGCCCTGCATACCGCTCACCAGCGCTCAACGCGTGCCCCACCGCCACAGCGTACAACAGACACAGTACAGGACCACATCTGTCCACGCTCGGCCCCGCCGATCGCCAGGCGCCACTGACCTGCGCCGCTCGACACCATCAGGTGCAGGTCGGACGAGGCCAGGTCTGCCGTCTCGTCGCCCACCGAGAAGCGCGCCGCGTGCGTGAACTCGCACAGCAGGAAGCCGTCGCGGTACTCGCTGGAGAAGTCGGTCACCAGCTCACCGCCCTGTCGGCCGGGCGGCCACGGTGAACGTGGGAAGACCGACCAGGACCGACTATGCAGGCCACGCTGTCGCCAATACAGCCGTCAACAAAACAATTTGGGCATCTCAGAAGAGCATGTAAAATCAGCTAAACGGTAAAACGGTCACAAAGATTGGAAAACCAAGTCGCTTAATACCTACACTTTCATGCAGTACACGCATCCCGGAGACGTTCACAATGCTTACCGCGGATGTGGCGTTCTGCTGATTTGACTGTTTTCCCTTGTTGTGGGCGTGCTTGATCTGGTACCCGCCGCCCGGGCGGTCCGTGCAGTAGATAACTGCATCGTCCCCCTGTCACAGAGACGGCAGAGGTCGTCACGCACCGACCGACGAGCCGGCCGTCAGTGCAGCCGACACGCCGTCCTCCGCCCCAGGGCAGGACAGCGTCAGCGGTCATGATGCTCCGTCCTCCGCCTCAGGACAGGACAGCGTCAGCGGTCATGGTGCGCCGTCCTCCGCCACAGGACAGGACAGTGTCAGTGGTCATGACACGTTGTCCTCCGCCCCAGGACAGGATGGCGTCAGCGGTCATAATGCGCCGTCCTCCGCCCCAAGGCAGGACAGCATCAGCGGTCATGACACGCCGTCCTCCGCCCCAGGACAGGACAGCGTCAGCGGTCATGACACGCCGTCCTCCGCCCCACGACAGGACAGCATCAGCGGTCATGACACGCCGTCCTCCGTCCCGGGGCAGGACAGTATCAGCGGTCATGACGCGTCTAAAACCACGCCCTGAACGTTTCTGAACATGACCAATACACCTCTCAGATGTGTCAACACAACACATACATCCGTAAGATATCTTTCAGGCGTAAAAATACGCATACCGCTTCAGCAGCATCTAAGTAGCACGTAAACCAACTACCGCACCCAGCCACCACACTGGTGAGGCGCCCCACCGGCAGCCAGCCAGCCAGCCAGCCAGCCAGCCAGCCAGCCAGCCAGCCAGCCAGCCAGGCAGCCCGTGTCCGCGACCGGCCGTCGCTCACCATGGCCGCGTCCCTAGAGAGTCCCATGGCCAGGTACTCGGCCGGCTGGTGCTTGCCGTACAGCTGCAGCCGGTAGGCGCCGTCCGGCCGGCGCGCGTACGTCACCATCAGGTCGCAGTTGCGGCCCTCGATGCAGCTGTCGGCGCGCGTGAAGCAGCCCTTGCTGAGCAGGCAGGCGTCGTATATGGTGGCGATGGCGCTCGCCTCCGAGCTGGCGCCGCCGCAGTTCTGCCGGTGGCGGCGGCGGCGTTATAGCGGGGGCTCGGTCGGCTTGGGGTCCGGGTCAATCCCGGGCCTCCACAACAAGCTGGCACAACGACAAACCGCCGGCTCTGCGAGCCGAGCGGACGATAAACAAAAACTGACGTGCTGGCGATGTGTGAGCGGCTGAGCACGAACACGTTGCACCTAGGCACAATCTGTTGGACACGTCCAGTTAGCCCCGACATCCTGTGACCTGGAGGGGCCCAGGCCAGGTCACACAGGGAGTGCCCCAAGCCTCTCACCCTGGCAGGAAGGGCGGGCACCGCGGGGAATCGAACCCCGTACCTCTGGTTTCCCAGACGCGCAGCGGTTAACACAGACGGGTTAACCACTGCACTACCGGCACCCCAGTCCCCGGGCACTGCCGGCCTCAGTCGGAACACGTCGTCCGTACCTCAGTGCAGACGGCCTCGGTGCTAGCCGGCGGCGGGACGGTGCTGGTGGGGGGAGCCGGAGGCGCGCTGGCAGCGGCGGACGGTTCTACCCGCTGCGGGGTGGGCGTCGGGATGGGTCAGAGACACGCTCCACCAGCCGCGCTCCCACCCGGCCGACGCCGCGCAGAGCAGAACAGAACGCGAGGGCTCCCGCGCACGAGCGTCGGCGACATCGCGCGGCCGCGTCAGAGACGGACAGACGGTCGCCGGAGCTCCGCTGGCTCCAGCGTCGGTCACCAGCACACGCCAGACACAGCGTTCTGAACAAGACCGACCGTTTACCACACCCACGCCGCTAGTTGGCCAACGGAGACAAACAACTAAAGCACAAACGCGGCGAGAGCGCCTCTATCTTCAAATCGAGCGGGGAAGGGCGGTGGTGCGGTCACAGGTGGGACTGGCAACAGGTCTGAGGTGAGCGAGGCCACCGGCGCCGGCCACGCCACACTAGACACAGCCCGGCTGCGGCGTCCGACCGTGCGCCAGCATCACTACTGACCGGGGACAGCCGGTCGGCGCCACCCTCCGCCTGCGCCGGAGCCGGAGATGGAGCGGGAACCCGAGTATCGGCGGTGGTGTCGGACGCCCGGGCCAGCCGCAGTCGAGGCGTGTTGTGTCCCACCCAGAAGGTGTCGTGCTTCTGCACCACGGTGACGCGGAACACGACATCCTCGTCCAGGTCGCCGGGGGCCTGCCAGAGCAGCGTCACCGCCTCCTTCTCCTTGCTGTCTAGGTGACTGATGCCGTTCTGCGTGCAGAGCACACACAGGCGGAACGTCAAACGTCAATCAAGGGCTGAAGTTCGGCGGTATTTAGGACGGCCACAACCTAAACCGAGTAGTCACCTCCAGAGAAGTCACCCTCCAGTGAGCCAACGCACTCAGCCGCAAGCGCAACCAGAAAAAAATCCAGATGACGAAAGGAAACCCCCTCTGAAGCACCAGGGAGAGCACGACGAGCGACTTTGTCCGACATCCACTCACGGTGACGCCGTAACGCGATTCATTAATCCCACTTCACATGTTAACATGACATCAGTGGCAGAAAGGACCCTGCGCTCATGAACAAAACCACCCGCGCCGCAACACTGAAGACTCGGCCGGAGGACGCCGCGGAGATCGAAGGAAGAAAAGGAAGGCCAGGGAGGGCCCGTGGGCCCGCGTGGCCGCCAGCTCACGTCTTGGCCCGGCTCGCACGACACCGTCAGGTGCTGGCGCGTGAAGAAGCGGCCCAGCGCCGGCGACGAGTCCGGGTCCCGGGCGCGCCGAACTTGCACGAAAAAGCCCTTAAACGGCGGCTGGTTGCCTCGTCTGATGGTCACCTTCACACTGAGGGGGACGAGTGACGAGGTCAGCGGCGAGCGGGCAGGACCAGCCACGCCCGGCCAGGTCAGCAGACCGCGACAGCAGGCGGGTCAGCACGAGCGAGGCAGGTCCTCTGAGAACATATGACATCGCATGTGGACAATGTCCCAGTGTGGTTGCTGGTGTCGGAGTATGTCCGGCATATAGTGGGGCGTCTGGTTCAAAACCTTCGTAGTCAGCGCTCAAAACTTTTGGAGAGGATACAGTGTGGACTGGTAATATGAACTGACCGCATGGCACAATTGGTGACCCAAATGCACTGATTGGTTTTGTATTAAAACCGTTCTTCGAAGAAATGTCCGACCGCCGGGCTTCGGACAGCTACACAGGTAAGTACTTAAGGGGAGTTTCCCACTTTTGGGGCTTATTTCAAACATCCTCCAGTGAAAACTCCGCACGATTTAAGTGGAATAATGACACTGGCTAGTGCCGCCGCAGCATAGTCAATATATAATATGAATAACAATTTTCATAATTTTCCAGTCCAAATTACGCTGCCAACACTTTGTAACAGCACTAAGGTTCCTCCTTGCAGTCGCGACTACTGTCGTCACGACCACCGTGCGCACGCACCTCCAGTGGTGTGAATAAAAATGCGTTTGTTATTGGTCCAGTGGACGCGAGCTTAGTACCGAGAGGCGCATTGGGTGCAGTTTGGACCAGTGTGTCACATCAAGCATGTGCTACTCCCATTCTCCGACCCAAAGTGCGCCTCGAAAAGAGTCACTACGGCGAACGCCATAGCGGAGATATCAAAAAAAGTATAACGTTTCGTTGAAGTCGCGGGATAATAGCTTCATGTTCGCTTTCGTGTCCAAATAGTATTTTAAGCTTTCGTAGCACTTATTTCACGAACGTTTTGGCACGTGAGTGTGTTGCAAACATTGCAGAACACACACACGTTGGGCAAAAGTAAGGCAAATGAAATGCATTACTTCCATAGTGGTGAACAAGGAGTCAAACGAGATTTCTGCCGCAGAGTCGGTTGCGTCAAATCTGAGCTATTCAGAGGGATTTCGATAAAACTGGTATTACCGATCAAATCGTACATGTTTGATGTAACAAGTGAAAAGTACAAAAAGTCAGATACTCCCTTTTAGAAAGCTACCTATGTATGCATCCGTGTGGCCATTCATTATGCAACGCATAACTTGAAATAGCTCGGTGTTGACATTCGTATCGCATGCCATTCGTATGCCGTTTGGAGTGTCACGTGTATGAAATGACATCGACAAAACACAGCAATCTCCTAAGACCGTATCCAGAAAAAGGCAGCACATGTAACACCACTGAAAGGTACGGGAACGAACAGGGCTTCTTCCCCGTGCACGAAGGCAAGGACTCTCCGGGACGCCAAACTGTGCGAGTCAATCAATGTGACAGCAACTGCCCGACGGCTGATGACATAAAATCGTCCAGGCCGTGCGCAAACCGTCCAAACGACGTCCGTGGACCATCATAATACGACACAATGATGGGAACAACGTATCTCCAGTGCCTGGAAAGCCCGGCTATGCAAACGGCTCATGCTGGGCGAGCGGAGGAACGCACCGCAGGCGCAGCGTGGAAGCGTGCAGCCATGGGCACCAGTCCGGGACCGTGCAGTGAAACCATGCCTGCCGCTGAGCCGACCAGCCCGAACGAAATCCGCTTTCTGCCGTGACTGTGACAATGGACCCGGGATAGTCGTCTGGCCGTGTTTGTCGCCGGGCTCCGGGCCGCTGAGCGGTAGTGGAGTTGTGTTCGGACAAGGAACCCAGCTGCGGTAAGCTAAGGTGTGCTCCTGACGCCAGTCAACTCACGCCCACCAACCACCTCCTTCTGGTGATCGGATAGCGTCAATGTGACGAGAAGCATCCGTGGCTTATTGGTGTTTTAGGGGGCGCCGACACAAGGTCAAACCGAGGTGGGCGAACTGTCGCCGTACCATGTTTACCACGCCATGTTTCAGCCACAGACGCCAGGAAGACTGCTGGGTTTTGAGGATACAGCGACCTCTTGGTCAAATCACACACCGGCGCAAAGCAACCCTAGCACCCCCCTAAAAACGGTCCTGTAACCATGTGCTCGTCCGACACCTATCAGTGTCATGCCCCGGCTCGCCCGCTGGCTCAGACCGAGGGCACGCACAACTCGGACCGGGGCGCCGAATCATCGCCACCGGTAACCGGCCGCGTTACCCAGCCGGACGCGGCGGCTGGCTGGTGATACCCGGTGAACGGGTCCGGCCCCGTTCGCCCACGTTGCGTCGGCCCGGCGGAGGCGTCACGCCGGAACGGAACGTCACGCGCGCCGCGGCCGGCCAATGGGGACGAGCCCGCCAATGGCCAGCCATGCGGGAACAAAAGCAACCCGACCGAGCGCGCCGGCCCACCACCGACCACCCGGGAACTGATGTCGGCCCAACGCTCGGTCACCCGGACCGTCAGTCCGCCGCCGGCTGCCCGCCACCGACCACCCGGGAACTGATGTCGGCCCGGTGCTCGGTCACCCGGACCGTCAGTCCGCCGCCAGGCTGCCCGCCACCGACCACCCGGGAACTGATGTCGGCCCGGTGCCCGGTCACCCGGACCGCCAGTCCGCCGCCGCCAGCCTACCGAGCGGCGAGCTGTCCGACCGCAATCCACCGTCAGCCGACACCCGTCTGGGCTGGCGATTCGTCATCATTTGGAGGTGAAACTAGCTGAGGATGCAGTCACTTATAGCGGGTATTCAACGCCATTCGTAACAGTTTTGGTGTGCTTTGAAACTTCCTTTTCAGGACTGGACGTGACAGGCGGTTTGGACGACCGCCATCGTGCGTTGGCCCGACGTTTTCTGCACATTGGCGCGAGACCAGCGGAGTGACGTACAACAGACGACGTTTCAATGGCCGTGACAAACTATACCATTCCGCAGAGGGGGACATCGTTTACCCTACAACGCATCGCATGCTTTGAGTCGTACCAGACCGTTTGTGTCCCAGTGAGAGGGCCGTGTTCTCTGACGATGACTGACCCACAAGTAACAGGCGTCAGCAGCAAGCATTTCACCATTCACGACACATCACACGTCAAAAACAGGATATGTGAGACATGTGATATGAGACCCCCAGGATACGCAACCCATTGCATACGGGGCGCACATGGCCGCACATATTGCATGCATGTTACATATGAATTTGCACATGGGTCACATCAAAACGCTTAACAAAAGATTGCGTCCATTCTCCATAACGAGCCATCTGAGCTATAGAGGCCACTGCAAAAATCGGAAGCAGCCACGCACTCCATGCAAAGCGAAATGGAGCAAGTGCTAAGCATTCAATGGCAACTTATGAAGTCAGCTAATGGGTTGCAGCGGGGCATCCAAGCGGATGGAAGCGACACCCAAAACAAACCGTACCGTTTCCCCTAACCTAGGCACCTGCAACAGAGGCCGGGCACTTCATCAAGACCAGCACCAACTTCTTCCAACAATTATTATGTCTTACACCATTCAGGGTGGTTTTTACAAACTTCTGTTTGACGCTCGGCAGTCAGAATCGACTCCGAAATCATGAGAAAGAAATAGCTAGGGCGCGCTGGAATCGATTCGCATAACCTTTTCTATAGAGAGAGTCAGAGAAAGTCAACTAAATCGCTTTTTGCGATTGAACGTGCTGAAGCGGAATTAAGCGCAAATCAAGGTTTGTACGCATCGTCAGAGACGTCATTCTTCCATTGCGTCCTCATACCTCGCACACCATTTATTGACGGCAAATTGACGTCCGTTACATCTGGAAATCGTGCCCACGAACGCCAAATATGAGCGACTCGCCACTTATATTTGCATTAGCCTTGATTGTCGCATGGTCAATGGAATGACAGGATTTAAAAGACATCATTATGACGTCACGGATGCCTCCGTGACCTTGAAATGGTCTGCACGAAATAGTCTGCACATGTTTGCAGACACGTAGCTCAGAAACTGGAGGGCCTTAGGTTTTAAGAAGGGCGAGGCCGTCAACTGCACTGAATTATCTTCAACAGGACTATTTCATTACATATAAATATGGAATGCTCCCGTTAACAGAAATCTTCCTTAAGGTCGTTTTTGTCGAAGGGAGCGGTAAGGGACCCAGAGGGGTGGGTTTCTTTTTCTCCCGCTCACTGTAACGGCACAGAAGTCCAGTGGAAGGCAGGACCTCATACTTTGACATCGGCTGGGCCGCTTAGTCAAGGCTCGGTTCTGGGATCTTTCGGGAGCGCCACTTACCGTTTGGACGGCTGCACGCTGTCACCGGACACAGTCACATTGTATATCATGTCGGACTGCTGGGCCGGCACGCCGTGACCCGGGGTCATGTCGCCGCAGGCCACGGCTGGGACGCCGCCCGGGTAGGCCCGGCAGGCCATCGCCGCCAGAGCCAGCACCAGCAGCTGCAGCGGGCGCCGAAGCATCTCCTGACGATCACGCGGGCCCGGCGTTAGGTCGTCCCCAAAGCCCACGCGTGTGCAGCCTCACCGGTGAGGCGCCTCACCAGACACGCCACCTGCTGAGTGGCACGTGCCGGCACCTCCGCCGCGTCCTCCGGCTGTAAACTGACCACCCCGAACACGTCCACCCCGCCGGTGATACCTGGCGGAGCCGCACCCTCACAGCGGCCCGCACCTTACGGCTCCCAGCCAGTCCACACCCACACGCAAATGAGCGCAGTCACGCGGCGTGTGCCAGCGCCAGGCGGGCGCGCACGGCAGCGGCCGGCCCACCGCGACCGGCGTGGCGACGCCGCGTCACGGCTGACCCCGATCCGGCGGCGGTCACCGCGCCGGCAGCCGCCGCCGCCGCCGCCGCCGTCGCCGCCGCCGGACACGTTCACACGCCGCCGGCCGCCGCGCCACTGGCTGCCCGGCGCCGTGCCCAGCCGGCACGCGCGCCTCCTGCTGCTCCACAGGACCACAGCCACTGATGTCGCGACTGATACACCCGTCACGGAGACTCACCCGGTCGGCCCACGGATCATGACAGCCACCGGCAGTGCCGCAGCAGCTGCCGCCGAGAAGCACCAGACCAAACACATGGGAATTCAGCCGCTGACAAACAAGCCAGTGCAGGTTCAAGACCTTTTAGACGTTCGGAAAGGAAGCACGGTCGAGAGACGAGGGGCTTCTACAAATGCCGTGATGCCTGCAGGCGATTTGACTTATCGTGCAAGCGCAGACGACAAGGCTCACATGGGCAATGGACTCTGACTACGGTTTCAGGCCCGCTGCGTGACACTTCTGAGGGCATACTGTGCGGTAACATGAAATATACACACGTGTAGACGATCTAAAATACCTCGCCATGCGGCTCATCTATCCATTACCCAGATACCCTCCGAGAAAGCAACATACCGCGCCTCTATCGTCCTGCACGTACATACGCTGCCTTTTCCCCATTCTTATTACACTCAACTACTTGAGTGAACAAGGTTACCTAAATCGTCCTCATTGTTGACCACGTGGGTGATTTTAAACAGCCCACACGTGTCGCCTAACTGTAACGTTTTCAAGCCCTCGATTCTTCTTGGTTTGGTTAGAGACATCAAGAAGCGCCAAAATGTGAACACCACCGTATTTAATGCTCAATACCACGAAGCGTAATGATGCTAAGGTCTCAGCTGCCCCGCCTCAGTACGTGATCAGCTGCAATGACTCAAGCTGATCAGAGCCGTAACATACCGTGGCACTTTTAATTGGAATAGCTACGCATCGACAGATAATATACATGCACTGCACGAGTACAACATCTTATTACTGCATTAAACACGCGCGACGGACATTGAATGGCACCGCGTCCGCATTCCTTCGACGCATGACCTTGAGCGCCCACAAAGGGAGACAGGGGAGCGGCGCGGCTCTCTGACGTAAACCCGCGTCGCTGCTGTAAACGCGCCGCGGAAATCCGGTGCCGGCCCGGTCACATACAGCTTGGTTTATTGTCGTGTCTTATCCAGGGCACAAATACACCAGTCCAAATAACAGGAATATAACGAATTGCAACCTACCTCAAGTATCACACCTGAGGAAGTAGAAGAATAGCCCCAAATCACACCAGCACAGGTGACGAAAGGCTTTGCCAGCTGGTCCGTGCATGTAGGGGCTTGAAATGGCCAGGTTACTTCCCTGCACAGCAGAGAGCTGCGTCCATCCCCGCCTTAGGACAGGGGACCGGTACATGAGCAAAGGACACAGGGAGCGGCGGGATCGCTCCAGCACACAGCCAAACGCGGCGGGAGGTGGCGGGCGGGCGGGTGCGGCCACGTCACGCGTCAGCATGAACAGCGTGTCCGCCTTGTGCTCCTGCGATGGTGGGGCGTGGCGGGGTCAGGCAGAGCCAGCTGGCGGGGGATCCGTGCCCCCCCCCCCCCACTTACAGCACCGGAGCCAGCTGCCGCAGCGAGTAGAGGTGTCGGCGCGCCCGGAGCCGCCCGACGGGGTGGGCACGGCCCGCCAGGCAGTCACGCGACACCGTACCGGGAATCCCGGATAGAGGCGCTCGGACCCGGTGCATCACACCATGGCTCTGGCCACACCTCTGAGTCACCTCACCGCCTCCAACACACCCACACAGGCTGCCACAGCTGGGCAAAACTCATTTATTACTTGTCACCAATGCACAAAGCCTACGCAGAGCCTTCATGCTGCAAAGGTGTCAGTTCTGTCAAGATCTGTGCATATTCCTTTCATATATCTTATTTGGCAATCTCATCTGGAATAGAATGATTCCTTCAGGACATGGGTTTAAATGGATGCTGGCATGAATGGTGATGTAGCCTCAAAAGACCTGGGGTAAGCACTAGAGAATGAAACACTTTTAACAATAAATATATTTGAAGTGACTGAAATTAATTTTGCTATGAGTAGAATGTGATATGTGGAATATAGGGTGTTTTTGTTTATTGGTGGACTTTGACATTAAACTGCATCACTGATGCCATGTTGGTGCTTACTTTATATTTGGGTGAGTTGTGTTTGTGCTTTGGGTCTGTTTTCAATACAACATGTGGGCTATTAATGAAACTTCAATCTCAATCAATATTTACACCAAATTATTGGAATGCAGCCATCTATATTAGATGGCTTAGATGTTTGGATGCACAACACCACAAGTCATTAGGACAGAGCAGCATTTGTAACATCTTACCCTTCAATCAACTAACTATAACATAACATGTCACGGTACTGCAACACTGTTGTGTCAATGTTGTGTATGAATTGGCAGGATGGTGCCATTGCATAAATGTCAAAGAGCAGCAAACCATCAGGCCTATTTTTGATATTTTGATGCTATACAAGCACAATATTTCTATAAGAAAGCAAAACATGTGTTGCTCTAAATGTGTACTATTCATAATGGCCAAAGTATGCTGAGTACTGGCTAGGCCTTAACATAGCATATCTGAATACAGTTCAAGTAATCCAAACACCATGTTCCGAGACCATGGTGCTGATGCTGTGGAGGGCTTGGCAGCAAAGTCCCCAGTAATGTTTACTTACAGGAAAAGCATACCACTGGATTCCAAGATACAGGTGCATGTGTCAATGCCAGAACCTCTCGCCCACTAGGTTTAATCCCAAGAAAACAGGTAGAACTAATTCCATAAAACTGCACAAGCCAGAGCTTATACTGGCTTTCTTAGCTTGGTTGGCATGATTTCATCATCAATTCATTATTTTCAAAGGCTAGCCATCCCATTCACACACTATGTTTATATGGCAGGTGATGGCCTTTTATGGAGCATCAATATATTATGTTTTGCATGGAGAGTGAAGCTTTTACATGGCATAGTCAAAGATAACAATAGGGAAGAAGCTTCGTGGAGAGGTTGACAGCATAACATTATGCTAAGGTCTTGTAAAACCTTAAAGCCAGATACCATTTGGCTCCCCTCACGACAATGCGCTGACCTCATGTGCTGTTGTTGCATACATTAAAATCATTATGTCATTAATGCATCTTGCTTTCATAGATATTGAGCAATATATTGGGAAAACACCATCATATGGTGAGCAGGTCAATGCAAAGATGCTACAAATATTTAAATTATCTTTCTCATGGGTTTAGCATGTAGGATGGAATGCAAAGATTATCAATCCACTGTGTTGGCATCGAGGATCAAATTTCATGGATTCTTGTTACCTTGGCCCCTTACATTTTTATGGTTTTTGATGCTGCTTGATGGGCAGTAATGTTGTGACTGAGTGCAGTAATGGCGCCGGTGTCGCGGCTGCTGTGTGTGTGCGGCGCTCAGGAGCTCACCATCATAATTATAAAAAATTTGAAGGTAAGAGCATGAATCTACATGTTTTGTGATTATTTATGATATGTCCTGCCTTAACCATGAGAATGATGTACAATGATTTTTTTTTTACATTAGGTAGGAAAGTTCACCCCGACCGCAAGCAGTCACAGTTTTCGATCATTTCATATACTGAAGAAAAGCCACACATCAGAGAAGGGCCACGTTTAAGGGAAGATGTAATGCGCCTGATCTCCTGCTGGTAAATACCTAACTCCAAGGCCTTATGCTAGTGCCTCGCATTAAATGTGCATGAGTCAAATATGTAGCACATCCCAAACCATCAGCATCACACTCAGCACAACCCACAGGCCAGCAGATCCTCACCTTTGGCATTTGCCAAATATCGAGTGATCTCCCCAGGTCTTGGCCGGCTTCCACGTCTGATGAGGATTATTCGAAAAGCTGCTGGTGCTTCATGGCTTCAAGCTACGCACAAATTACCACAAACCCTCACCAACAGTCCCCAGTTGCCAGACCTATGCCCAACCCACAGCCAGCGAGCGCCACGCAGCGGTTGCCTGCGCCGCGGTGAAAGTTCATTGCCTCTTCGTCAACTTGACGTAAATACGCAGTGTTGTACGACTCTAATCTACTGCTAATTTTAAAACCAGCTCTAAATCCTAGCTCGTTAGCCAATTTCCGCAAGAAATCGCTGCAAGAACACATAACATGCAATTTGCTGGCACCTGACGCACGCAGAAAACCATTTTGATCTAGAAAAACTAACCAAGCTCTTTCCCGTATTTATCACCATATCAGTATCGCAGGCAGGGGGCACATGGGGCACGTGCGCCCTCCTTAGGTTCCGAGGGGTTCTTTGGGCCCGCGGTGATCGCCGATGGACACTCCGAGTTGAGAGTCCGGGGGGCCCGAAAGTTCGGTCGGAGTCTGTATTTAAGGGATCCGGCACGCAGGGCGGGCACTCCAATGCCAGCGAGAGCCTTATTGACGCAGATCGGGGACCCCCTGAAACTCGAAGGGCCTTTATGTCGGTCGAACATCACCAGTACCGCAGAGTGTGCTCCGTGTCGGTATTGACCTGAGATTTCACTTTACAAACGGGTACAAAGCCGTGCGCACGATTTTCAGTGTCCAGTGCCTGTCGGGGGCCATCAATACCTAACGGGGGCTTTGCGTTGGCAAGGGGCCACGCGTCTGCTAGGCATAAGGTTCGGAGAGGCCCGAGGAGAGCCTGGAGGGCCAGCCGGGACTGAGAATGAAGGGTCCGATCGGAAGACCCAAAGGCACAAACGGTTGACCGGATTTATTTTTATTCAGGAGCCCCAGCTTGAAGGGGCGGGTTCTCAAATGATGGTCTGAGAGCCTTTTGCACCTTTAGGTGACGCCCTGAGTCGATAAAAGTCTAAATATCGGTCAGGCACCACCAGTACCGCATATTCGGGTCCGTGTTGGTATGATCTGAGGACCCACTTCCCAAGCAGCGACAAAGCTGGAGCCAGCAGTTTACACTGTTCGGGGCCTCTGTATCAGCCCTGGTCGGGGACCCTGCAGGCCTTTTTTCAGACAGAGATTATCGACACTTAACAGTTTTCTTCGTGTCGGTCTGAGCCCAGGGGACCCGGTTCCAAACTAGGATCAAGGCCAGGACCCGCGATTTACAATATTCGGGATTCCGGACGCAATGAGCGGCTTCTGTGTCGGCATTGGCCTCGAGTCGCACAGGAACCGTGTTTGAGGGGACCCAAAGAGGGGCCCGAAGAGTCTCTTGAGACCTAAGATCAAGGGCCCAATGGCAGGTTTAATACCCCAAGCGGCTGTAGGTCACACTAAGGGCCCCGTCCGTGGGACCGTGATCCCAAACGTCACCTAGAGGGTCTGTTTACACCGATTGTGCCCCTTTGAAACAGTGCATTACTCTGCTTCGGCCAAAGATCTCTAATGCCGACCAGTCGGCTCCGTGTCGCTCTAAACTCCAGTGGCTCATTTTCCAAGGGGGAACAAGGCCGGAACCGCGATTTACATTGACCAGAGCCCTTGCAACAATGCTAAGCTATTGTGTTGGTCAGGGATCCACAGCACCTTACAGGGTGTCCGAGACGGGGATCTCGAGTCGGCCAGGAGAACATATGCTGAACAGGGACGGGGTGTGACCCCAAACGTAAGAGGGAGTCTTGAGGTGGTCGGGCTCTCTGGCAATGGAAGGAAATCTGACAATTTATTATGAAAATTCGCATTGGGGTAATGGAAGGGAAATGTGTCAGAGACCCCAGTGCCGAACGGTGTGCCCTCCATCCCAATTTCAGCCGTGGGCCGGTTGAGCCGTAATGGCTTTTATGTGCCCATTATTGGACGACCTACGGCGAGCATGAGCAAGGTCGCGTCAATGAGGATTCCGCGTCCATCCGGTGCCAACTGCGCAGGCCAGAAGGTCTCCTGCGTCAGTGAGAGGACCAATGTATGATGCATCCCTCTAAGGGCCTACGGATCGACCAAGGAACCCCACCCCCGTGTTAGCGCAGTGCTAACGACGGCCTATCCGTTCATAGAGACATAGCAACGATACGGCGGCCAGGGGAAAAACACCGATGACAAAACTGGAAGATATGACTTGGTATCTTCGGTAGGACTGATTTCGGGATACCATCTGCCAATATAACATATTCGTCAGATGTTTGTTTCGGCATACCATCTGCCAGTATAACACATTCGTCAGATGTTTGTTTCGGGATACCATCTGCCAACATAGCATTCGCCAGATATTTGTTTCGGCATACTATCTGTTTATCCGGCATACTATCTGTACTATCCGGCATACTAACACATTCGTCAGATGTTTGTTTCGGGATGCCATCTGCCATTATAACACATTCGTCAGATGTTTGTTTCGGCATACTATCTGCCAGTGTAACACATTCGTCGGATGTTTGTTTCGGGATATCATCTGCCATTATAACACATTCGTCAGATGTTTGTTGCTTTCCGGCTGATCCCCGGCAGCGTGTCATTCAATGCCCCCGGGCTGACTGAAGCCCGCCAGGTGATTTGGTGATTTGAAGAGACAGGGAGTCCAGTTTGAAATACTTTTATCTGTGTGTGAAAGATACAGCCTTTCCGTAACGATGTCATCGTGGGAACACTATCGGGCGGTTATGTAATTATCGTGTTGGCAGGCATGAACACTTTGTTCAAATCACCTCATAACAGCGCAGAGTTAATGGCGGCTTCCGTGCCCATAGCCACGGCAATAATACCTTTGGACCATGTTATGATCATGGGAGAGAATGAATGCTTCCTAAAACGCTCTGTTTTCTTTTATTATTTCGTTTCTCACAATAGTGGTAGCAGTTAAATATATAAGGAATCGGACCAACAAACATATGAGTAAAAAGTAAATTAACGTTGTCATTAACATGCAGGTATCTAACTGAGCACACACACACACACACACACACACACACACACACACACACACACACACACACACACACACACACACACACACACACACACACACACACACACACAGATATATATGTATATATATATATATATATATATTTTTTTTTTTGCTCTTATGTGCATATATACATGCATATGCATATGTATATATATATATATATATATATATATATATATATATATATATATATATATATATATGTATGTGTGTGTGTGTGTATATGTATATGTATATGTATACATATGCGTATGCAAATAAGTTAAATTTATACCGAGCAGATCAAATCAATCAATCAAATCAATCAAATCAATCAAGCATATGTTGCGTTCTAATGTCCAAGGAGAGCATCTGAGCAACTAATCCACGTATGCATCTAGTTCGTGACAAGTCATTTAAGCCATCATTGCTGGATACAAGAAACTTTCGGATAATAAATACTGGGTGTCCCAAAAACAAAAATGACGCTTACTTCTGGTAATGACTGCGTTATCTATTGAGTTCAGAACATCAGGTTTTCACGCATTATGTTTCGTGCTTCGCATGTTTAACCTACCAAATTGCATAACGATGAGACACCTAGTGTTTATTCAGGGCTGTTTTATTGCATGCTCAACCGTGGGTATCGACGCACCGGCGCACTGACGGCTCGAGCACACATGAATGCACGTGGGCAACTTGTTGACAACGTTCAAGCACCGAGTGATGGAGACCTCTCAAATCTTACATTCTCTTGCTGTTTTTACATCTGCGACTCTCTGCGGTATCTCCACAAACATGGTCTTAGAGGCACCCCACATAAAGAAGTCGAGAGGTGGCAGGTCGGGGATCTGAGCCACCCGCTCCACGTCGAATCAATGCCTGGATACTATATCACCGAAGTGGTCCAGGAGCCACTTTCGGAAGTCATGATCCGTGGGAACAATGGGATGTGGTCCCGTCTCGTGGAAACTACCGAGCGGCACGTATATGTGCGGTCGCTCTTTCTAGATGCTCTCAAACTTCCCCGAGACTTCAATGAATCGCTGCGTTCCCAATGTAGGCGCGCGGCTTCCGTCTTCCTCGAACCAGAAAGATCTAGTAAAGCCATGCACGAAGAGAATCACCCACGTGGTCCACTTCACTGAGTACAGGGGTCGAGCTGAAGTGCGAACTCGGGTTTGGTTTCTCCCGACCACACAGTTTCCTTTTATTTGATTCAATCACCCCACAAAAATTCACCTCACAGGTAAACCAGAGATCACCAGGAAGGTCCCGCTCCCGCTTGAGTTTGCCGGTGAGCCACTGGGAATCTTTTACTAATTTAAGCCACTGTTTCGCCTCTTTTTTAGAATTTCAGACGATCCGTTTCTGAGCAACTCGTGGTCTTAGCAGCGACGGCGAAAGGATTTTGCCAGGTTCCGCGCAACTGACGTGCGATGGCAGCGATTCTGCTGGTGCCCTTTGATATTTTGCTCTTCCTAAATAATTAGTCTTGCCCCGGGGTAAAGAGCTTAAATTGCAAAAATCACCTCCTTATCTTCAAATTACGCCCGTTGATGACAAAAATTGAGGGATGGGAACAATAAGAACCTTTCAGGACTGGAACAGTAAAAATGTTTTCACTCTTCAACCCAACTGCACGTGCCGCCTGATATTACTTCGTTGGGTACGAGGCTAACTGAAAAGACAAAACCCGATATTTTTCACAGTAGAAGATTTTTCCTGATGGCTTTGATGCAGATAGCTGCAGCCACATATGGAAATGAAACCTTTCCATTCAACGCCTAAGACAATTTATGCCTATCGGCCAGTTGATGCAAATAAATTATCTCTGTAGCTCGCACACCCCATGCTACTCATGCTCGGCTTAAGTTGCATTTGTAACACAGCCTGAATTTTAGCCGATTTTATACTTTTTCGACACAGTGAAAACGTGCAGTTCACTACCATCTCATTTCTTCTTTTTGATTATGGATTTTTATGTTTTGATGTGTTATCACAGAATAATTTCCTGCACTAATGCTTACGTCTAGTGTGTTCGTATGTGCGCAATGCTTCACAAAACCCTGCTTGGTTAGCTTAGTGGTAGAAAGCCCGACTCGTAACCAGAAACCT